GGGTGGCTAGGCATCAGTATTTTTTAAAAGCTCATCAGATGATTCAGAGGTATAACTAGGGTTGAAAACCACTGGCATAATATAGGGCAACTGCAGGTTTACAGTTGTATGTGAAACAGTTTATTCTTGTATTATTATTTGATATTGTATTACTTTCTATATGAACAGCTATAAACCTACTTTTTTCCCCACCCTTTGTAATTCTAGTAAAGTACCAGTTACATTGGTTTATCTACGTGTCCTCCTTCATAGCATGTGAATTCCACAAGGACAGAAACTTTTTCTTCATATTTGTATCCTAAGAACGTGGCACAGAGCCTGGAATATAAAGAGATGTAGTATACAAGTGACTATGTTTTTATATCTAAAATGTTGCTGAGAGAGGACTACAGGAAATAAAGTAGGAATTGTTGAAACTGTTAATATTAAATTGCATGCTCCCTCTAATTTTACAAAGGAAAAAAAAGATATGCCATTTACAATCCTCTTAAGTGTGTTTATTTTTACATAGTTGCTATGGAACCACTAGTGTACCAGGAACTATAGAGATTGACAGAACTATACTAGGTAGCTCCTGTCCTCAAAATTTGAAATATAATCACTATGCATTGTAGAGTGAGAGGTTTCCTGCCTTCGAAACACTTAAGTGCTAATAGGATTGTTGAGATAAGTATAAAATACTGCAAGGCATAACAAAGATAGGAACGGTGATACAGAGATTTAGAGAAAAGAAACTTCCCTGTCACTTAGCTAGAATAAGGAAGGAATTCAAGGAGGTAGAGTTTGCTCTAAACCTGGAAGGATTGATGGATTTCATCAGAATGTGAAAATGGTGTTCTAGACAAAACAAAAACATTAAGAGTTATTTGGAGAATAAACTGTAGTTTACCTAGGTAGTAGAACTCTTTTTTTTCTTTATTGTTTTTTGTTTGTTTTTTATTGTCCTTTGAATAGTAGAACTCTTGATTTCCATGCTCAACTCCCCAAACTTGCGCCTCACTCAGGCTTCCCGTGTCAGTAAATGGCAGTACCATTTATCCGGTTAAAAGCTGAGTCCCTCGTTTTTCATCACTCTCCACCAGGAAATCCTGTTCATTCTACATTCATAGACATTTCCTTCCCTTCTCCGTCATCTCTGATGTCATGCACCTCACTTGCCCACCTTTCACAGACTTCCTGTCTTTTGAACCCAGGCTCCTACTCAGGACCTTTGTGCTTTCTGTGACCTGTAGAATGGTTTTCCTGTAGATTTTGCTGCTCTGCTCCACATCATGCTAATCTTGGCTCCACTGTCACTTCCTCTGAGAGCCCTTTCCTAATTATCCCACCTGAAGGAGCCCTCCGTCACTGATTCCTAGTACCCTTTTTTTCTTACTAGCTCTTATTACTCTGAAGTTAAATTGTTAATTTGTTTATTACTTGTCTTTGCCATTTACTGAAATATTCTCAGTTTTAGTCTAGTGCCTACACGTAGTGAGTACTCAATGTTTATTGAGTGAATGAATTATAGATTGTAGTGTAGATTATAGATTACAGTGAAGGTTCTGAATGTCAGATTGAGCTGTTTGTGTGTAATTTGCTAAGTAGTTACCAGGCACTGTGAGTCTTTGATCAGAGTAGCCTGATCAAAATTCTGTTTTAAGAAAGTTTAACAGTAGTACAAAGACTATCATTAAATATTCACATAAATCCTATGAGATAGTATTTATTTTCACCATTTTGTAGGTGAGAAAAATGAAGCTTAGAAAGGTAAGATAACTTTTTCAACACCACACAAGTAATAAGGTTTGGAATAAACACCAAAGTCAAGTTTTTTAAACCACTATACAGTGTTTTGCAACAGATTGGAAACGGTAAGGATAAAGAGGAAGGAGCAAAACAGTGACCCCTCGGTGATTGGAAGAATGTTGGTAGAGAAATAACTGAAAGACCCTATTCCAAATGTCCACAAAATACATAACGAGAATTTCAAGTGGTATATGCTAAAATAAAATTCAAAATAAACTAAATGCATACTCTTTGAGGTTTGTTGTAATGCAGTTAAACTTAAGAACCATTTAAGAATTCTGTTACTGTGACCCCTTATGTAATGTATAGTTTATTTTAGCTTTTAAAATCAATATTTTAGTAAAGAAAAGCTTTAAATGTTTTATAAATTAATCTAACTTTATCCATTGTTAAAGTTGATTTTAATAAGGACATTAACTTGAAAAGTCAGATCACTCCCCTACACTGGTATAAACGGGCAGTGCCTGACAGGTAGTATACACATAGTGAATATTTAAAGAAATGAACATTTTAAATTGACAAAGTAAAATTCTACTTAGATTTCTTTTCTTTTTTTATCTTCACCTGAGGATATTTTTTCCATTGCTTTTTCAGAGAGTCGGGGTGGGGGGAGGGAGAGAGAGAAAAACATCAATGTGAGAGAGACACATCGATTGGTTGCCTCCCGTACTCCGCTTACCGGAGCTGAGCCTGCAACTGAGGTATGTGCCCTTAGCCGGAATCAAACTTGGACACATCAGTTCATGGGCCAGTGCTTTAATCATTGAGCCAAACGGGCTAGGGCTCTACTTAGCTTTCTAATTTACTTACTTTTATTCTGTTTTTAAAAGATGCACAGTTTGAAACTGATGAACGAATTACACCGTTGGAATCAGCCCTCATGATTTGGGATTCAATTGAAAAGGAACATGATAAACTTCATGAAGAAATACAGAATTTAATTAAAATTCAGGTATAAGTGTTACTTTCTGTTTATAATTATTATTTTGCTAGAAAATAAAAACATAACATCTAAAGAAATTAAGAACCACTCTAATAGAAGTTGGTCAGTAAACCCAGAGTAAAATTTAATATAATCATTCTTTAGAAATTTGGCCTTTGGTTTGTAGTCTGGACATGAGCTCTAAGAGCTGGGACTTAAGAGTCCTCTACCTAAGTGTTTATTGCCACACTTTAGAAATTATGCCACATCTATTTAAAGATCATCAAGCCGCTTTGAAAAACTTGTGATTTGTGCCCTCTCAGTTTTTATTAAAGATTATAAATATGACAATAATTAGAATATTTGATTTAAAAAAACAGTGGATTTTTATGATCAAGAGAATGTAAAGTTTTAACTATTTAGAGAGAATTTTAGGAATAGCCTATTCAGGAGTGGTAAGCCAAAAAAGTCACTCAAAGATACAAGAACAGGGAAAATCTCTTTTGCTAAGAGAAATTTTGTTATGTAAGTAAACTTTTCCACATTTAAAAAAAATGTTTTACTGTTGGGTAGGAGAGAAAAATCCAGGTGATGTCTCACCTTCCCAAGGATTAATTACTGATAGTATAGTGACTGTCAAGTAGAATTAAGACCTGACTAGAATGGGCAGGAATATGACTGTTGCTTCTAAGAATTTCAGCCCAGGGCAAAGAGATTTGTCATGCTATCCCAATTGGGGGGGAGGGGGGGGCTCTAGAGAAAGCAGGCCTTTGTTAATATACTAGTATAAAGTTGAGTGGGTTACCATAAAATACATAGGAAGCGTAACATATTGGTTACTATTTGCCAGGTACTAGTCTAAGTACTTTCGTATGTAACTGTAACCCTCCCAACAACCCTATGAAGTCGGTATTACTATTTCCATCCCTTTTCATAAAAGGAAAATGAGGCACCAAGAGGTTAAATAGTTTGCCCAAGTTTATAAAACTACTTAGATGGTCAGGGTGACCCCATATCTTACCAGGTATGATATCAAAAAGGCCAGTTTATAAAATGATTATTGAAAAGCATCTGGCTTCCCAGGTTCTATCAGAGATTTTCCAGACATCCTCTCTAGCAGATTTTTGTATATCCTAATCATAAATTCCATCTACTTCCCCTCTCATTTCCCTTTTGCTCAAAATATTTAAGTGGGTCCTAAATGTACATAATGTAGCTTCTCATTTATTTATTAATGCTTGCCTTTAATTTGGCCTAAATTAGAATGTTGTACCTTTATTAGTATATTAGTATACATGAAATTTTTTCATGTCTTTTTAAACCAGTTACTTGGGAAACATTTTATATATAATTTATTAAGTCAAAATTATTAAACTACAAAAAAAGTGTTAAACTACATAAATATTTTAAATGAAGTGGTTCAGACTCAATCTGAGTTATTTCAATATTAAACAACAATTCAGTATTTCACAGAGCAATCTTAAGGTATGTATTTGTCATCCTATCTTTTAGGCTATAGCTGTTTGCATGGAAAGTGGCAATTTTAAGGAAGCAGAAGAAGTCTTTGAAAGAATATTTGGTGACTCACATTCTAATATGGTAATTATTTAAATTAGAGTCAAAGTTTTAGAACTGTTTATATGGAATGAGGAAAATTGAAAGAACATGGGAAAAGGAAATGGTTAACAATACAGAACAGTGCTGTGCCATAGAAGAATATTGCAAGTCATATGTCATTTTACATTTTCTAGTAGCCACATTAAAAAAGTAAAAAACACATGAAACTAATTTTTTATTAAACAATAACATACCACTAGTTGAGTACATGTATCATAAATGTATGTGTGTTTTCACAAAAGGAACACATTTATATGATGAGCCCCTAGATCATGAATCAGAAGATAACCAGCACCCCTACCCTCCAGTCACTGTCCTTCCCATCTTCTCAAGGGTAACCACTGGCCTGACTTGTAACATCCAAGATCAGTTTTATTTGTTTCTGAACTTTATAGAATAGAATCATAGCAAGTTTATATTTGTAAGATTGACCCATGGGGTTACTTATAACAATACTTTGTTCATTCTCATTGCTTCATTGTAGGAATATCCTACAGTTTATCCATTCTACTGTTGGTGGACATTTGAGTCATTTCCAGTTTGGGGCTATTACGTTTCTTTATACATGTCTTTTGTAGAACATATATATGTATTTTTATTGGTATATACTTAGGAATAGAATTGGTGGGTTATAGAATATGAACATATTCATTCAGTTTTCATAGATGCTGTCAAATAGTTTTCCAGAATAGTCATCAGTTCCTCCAGTGCTGTGGAGGAGTTCCAGTTGCTTCACAGACCTTATCTGTGGTTTTCACTTTAGTCATTCTGGCAAATTTGTAGAGTGTTTGGGTTTTAATTTCTGTTACCCTGATGACTAATGAAGGTGAGCATCTTTTCATTTACTGGTACATATAGAGTTATGGGGTGATCACCTTAATCCACTGAGGGGGGCTTAGCCAAGTTGAGTGTCAGTTATAGTTTTAGTACGGCTCAGCCTGTCTAATGTGCTCCTGTTCCTAGGGTGTAGCACTCCAGATTGCAGTAGAATCCCTGATATATTTATTGGGTTCCCTGCTTCTACTTTTAAACAAGGGCTGTGATTGTACAAACGATGTCCTAGTTCTTAAATTCGGTAATGAATATTCATGTTTGTAATATTTTTTTAAGTCCTTTTTGTATGTGCGTGACATATATGATATATATTTTTTTAATTCAGAAAAATTAATTGGGCCATTTAAAACATAGGAATTTTTTAAATCTCTTAATTGTGAGTGTTTGAGTTTAAATTTATAAAGTGATCTTTTTAATTTATGACAAAATTTCTAGTATCTTATGTATGTATTAACATTTCTTCTGTTTTCTCTAGTCTTTACAAAGGAAATTGCTTATGGTAATCTCTCAGAAAGATACATTTCATTCTTTTTTTCAACACTTCAGCTACAACCACATGATGGAGAAAATTAAGAATTTTGTTAATTATGTGCTCGATGAAAAATCATCAACATTTCTAATGAAGGTATGCATATATTCAGAAAGACTGGTAGACTTAGGAGAAATTGTTATACAGTGGCACCTCAGTTTTCAAACGTCTCCATTGACGAACATTTCGAGTTACGAACACCATAAACCCAGAAGTAAATGCATTAGTTTTCGAACACGCCTTGGAAATCGAACATGCTACACGGCTTCCGCTGAGGGCAAGATCCTGAGGCCTAGCTGTTGGCTGTTGATCCCTCGGTTTTCTAACGGTCTTCCAGAATGGATTATATTTGAAAACCTAGGTACCACTGTAATAAAGAAAAGTACTTGAAGTAGAAATCCTTTAAAAACAAATCAGAATTTTAGTTAGTGATTTTTGTAAAAGAATGTGGCAAAATGTTACAATTAGTGAATCTAAAGGGTTTATTGGTGATCTTTGTAGAATTTTTACAACTTTTCAAAATAAGAATTGAGAACATTTTTCAAAATAAAAAGTTGAAAGGGAAAACTTAGAATGAGTTAAGAAATAAGCAAAAATATTTAGTTTAAATTTTACAGAACATTTTAGCATATTTTTGGAAAAGGTAAAATTAGACTGAAGAAGGGCCTTTAAATTTTTTAAAATAACAGTTTAGCCTGTCTTGGCCTCAAAAAATTTTAACTTGTTATAGTGGAGCATTGATTAATATGGGGTAGTTTCATTTTAAAATTTCTGGAATTTTTATTGATTTTTTTTTTTTTTTTTAAGTAACCTTTTATCTTAAAATTACCAAGAGCATTGTGCGTGTAACATTCATTTACAAGGAAAGACCTCCATAATGCTTATAAACCAAGCTGGCAGCTAAAATAAAGTAGCTGCTCATGATGTCACAGTTACTGGGGAAAATAACAGCATAGTGCCCTTGATTGGCCTATGAACAGATACTTTGGTTATGACTGTCAAAGAATTAGAAGCTTTCATTTAATGCTTTTTGTTCAACATGGTTTAATGCACTCTTTTCTCTCCCCATCCCCTTTTTTAAGGCAGCAGCAAAAGTAGTAGAAAGTAAAAGAGCAAGAACAACAATTTCTCAAGATAAGCCTAATGGTAATGATGCTGACATGGAAACTCAAGCTAATATGGATGTAGGCAAAAGGTTTGTAAATTTATTGATTTTTTTTGTCTTATACATACAGTGTCTTTATATAAAAGCGATACTAGTGAGCCATTATTAATAAAAATAATTACTGAGCAGTGGGTATAGTGTCTCACTGGTGATTAACATTGGTGATTTGGAGTATGTAGAGTTATTTCATGGTTTATGCAAAATTCTGTTATATATGCCAAACAAAAATAGAGAGTGAGAAAATACACAGTTTAAATCATGTAATATCATTTAACATTCTCAGGTGACGTGCTCTGGAACAGTTGGAGGTTGTAAACCTGAATCATCTGTGCCCCTTAGTTCTCAGATCCCACTTGCCCTATTATGTGACTGTTTATACTGAGCATTATTCTAGTATTTAAGACATGGCTCATACATTGTCTAAGGGTAAGCTAGCCAGCTTCCTGTGGCACTCTACTGAAGAGATAGTGATTTGCTCCAATGCCAGAAGGAAACCACTGTTTATTCGTACATATTGAGAGACAAGAGTTCAATTTCCAGAGTGATTTCTGTAGGGGTTTGCAAGGATGGCTTTTACAGAATTGATTGTACCTTTTGCTTTGGCTTTAGAAGTTAATCCTATTAGTAATATAAACCGTACCATTATAAAGGTCTTCTTTTCTATTGAGTCTCCCCTTAACCCAAGGCCAGAAGATAGTCACCCTGTGGTCTCTGAATGGATGTATTTGGCAGTGAATGTAATATTATTGTTTTTTTCTTGGAACCATGACTTGAGTGCTGAAGATTCCCCAACTTAACTACTTATTTAGAGGAGAAGATTGGGGTCCAGCAAGTTGGATGGACATGGCTTTGGTCACACTTCAGGACTGAACTCAGTCATCTTATACTCTCTCCTGTCCCTGCTCTGAACAGGATTTGCTCTTCACTGGTTCATCTCTGCAAAGGCTCTGTTAAAGTCATAGTTCTCATTGACTTATTTTTTTCCTAAGACTCATTTTAAGAAGTACAGATTTTATTGTTTTATTGGGTCAATTATTTTAGTGTGTTTAGAAAATCAATTTTAGTACTACTAATACCTAATATATTCTTGTGGCCCAGCCTTCCTGCCCAGTATAATACTGCTTTAAAATAAAATAAAATATAAAGTAAAATAATAAAATAAAATAAATAAAAACTTACCATGATTCTGGCAGGTAATGAACACCTGTCCTATGTCCCCTCCTTATATGGTACCACCTACTTGTTTCAGACATCTAGACACAAAGTAAATCAGTGTGTAAAACAGAATTCTTGATGTTCTCATCTGCTCTCTGTACCCTGACTCTTTCACCTCACACATTCAGTTATCTCCCCAAGTGTTATGAATCCCATCTCAGAAATGTCTCTAACCCATTCATTCTTACCATTTATAAGCTAGATCATTACCTAGCTTTGTACCACACAAATCCATCTTTGGTATGACTTTCAGCCTATCTAAACTAGCCTATCTAAATCACTTCACAGCTTAATAACCTCTATTGGCTTTCTATTTCTCACTAGATGAGTTAGAATTTATTGGCATGGCTTACAAAGCCTTAGATAGCCCCTTTCTGGGGTTTTTGTGTGTGTGTTTTTATAAGTGACCTGTCCCTAAGCATTAACCCCTCCCTGTCCACAGACATGGTACTTTCTAACAACCAGAACTTCTCCCTCATCCTGCAATATTACAAGCTCTTTCAGGCTTCCACCGTCACTTCAGTTTTGAATATCCTTCTTTCTATTCTCTCCAAGGCAAGCTCTTGCTTGCCATTCACTGTCAGGAATCAAGCAACTATCAAAACCATACTGGAAGCAAATAGATAGAATCAGAATTGTGATTGTGACTGCAAGGTCAGACAAATGCTAGGAAAGCTGAAGCCTTCATGTTATCAATGCTAGGTGAAATAAATATTTTGCTCTGATAAAGCTTATAAACTGTTTGAGGCCATAAGAATTATAGATGTCAAACATTAGCAGATGTTACATAATTTGTTAGTTTATAGATGGACTTACACACTGAAAGACTTTACATGGACAGCTTCAAAGACCTGTGAGCACTGAGCAGGGCTTTGGAGGGTGGTTAAGGTTTTTACAGGTGTGTAGAAGAGGAATTGTAATTTCAGGAGAGAATAGTTACAGAAGCCCTGGTTGTGTAAATGGTCCTGCTATGTGTGTTGTGGGAGCTAATTTTAACTGTCACAGGGGAGGGATTCGTTAAAAAGTTCACTTAGCCCTGGCCAGTGTTTCTCAGTGGTTAGAGCATTGGCTCACTCACTGAAGGGTGTGGGTTCGATTGCTGGTCAAGGACATTTACCTGGGTTTCAGGTTTGATCCCTCGCTCGCTCTCTCTCTCTCTCTCTCTCTTCCCCCTCCTTCCTCCCTCCCTCCTTCCCCACCGCCATCTTCCCTTCCACTGTCTTTAAAAATCAATGGAAAAAATACTCTTGGGTGAGGATTAACCCCCTGCATCCCCCCAAAAATTTTTTTAATAAAGTTTAGTTAGAGACTGGTGGAGAGGACAAGATATTAAACTTGAATAAAGCTCCATGGGAGTGTTTTTGAAAGAGTGACAATATGAATGCTTGATTACAGCATTAATTCTGCTTAAATTGTGTTTGGGGAAGCTTGATTTACTATCTCTAGTAAGCATAGCTGGCAAAAATTAGCCATGTTATAATGGAATATATATATCCCAATGTTACCAGGGTTTCTTTCCCAAAGATAGTTTTTATGAATTGAAGTTTTCAATAAATTGACTGTGTGGAAAGTACTATTCTTTTTTTTTTTTTTGAGAAACAGAAAAAGAGAAAGAAACTGATTTGTTGTTCCACTTATTTATGCATTCATTGGTTGATTCTTGTATGTGCCCTGACACCAGGGATCGAACCCACAACCTTTGCATATCAGGATGACGCTCTATAAGTGAGCTACCTGGCCAGGGCTGAAAGTACTATTATGAAACATTTCTTTTTATTACATTCTGACAATTTTTTTCTTCTTTAAAGTGTTAATGACAAACCATCTGCAGTAACTGAATCCTCACGGGATACAGTATCCTTAATGAGGTGAGATAAATTGACATTTTTCTTCTCTATGTTTAAAATATTTTTAGCAATTCATGCAGACCTAGACAGATCATAATAACCGCCATGAAAATGGTATGATTTCAAGAATATTGCAGGATCCTACTTACCTCAACAGATATTCAAAACCCTAACATATCCTGAAATTGTGAACTATAGAGACCTGCCTCTGGGACCCAGGGCTTTTTCATGTTTTTTCTACAAGGCCATTATTGGAATACACATGTGGGGAGTGCTTGAATTGAAATCAAATATTTAGTAAAGTCTCATTCTGCCACAGAAATAAGAATATGATGCTGGGACAGGAGGGGGATGGAGGTTACATTTCTGATTGAATGTCCCAAATTCTGATTTATTAAAATATGTTTTTATTGATTTTTAGAGAGAGAGAAACACCTATTGGTTGTCTCCCATATGCACCCTGACTGTGATTGAACTGGCACTCTTTTCGGTGCATGGGGCGACGCTCATCCAAGGCCCAAATTCCGGTTTTATGAAATTACTTGAAAAACTGTATTTAACCTACTAGAAATACTGTGACAGACAATGTCACATGCTCAGAGAGCAGAAAGTCTGCATGAATAATTTCGGAGGTAATTGGGGGTGGCTGACTTAGTGGGAAGGAGCTTATCAGAAATGAGAAATTGAGAGTCCAGGACGTTGTATGTATTATCTACGGGAACACTGAAATTACTCATGATAATAACAGCAGTTAGGGGTAGAGAAAGTTCTCTGAATGATGAGAAGTGCTGGGAAGGGTAGTGATTGACTGAAGAATGGCAGGTGGTGGTGCACCTCGGTGGCACAAGTCTTCACTGGCGAAGGTCCCTGGAAGCAGAATCCTGAAAGTGGCATTCATTAGGAAATGACCTGTGGTTCATTAAGATTAAGTCAGTCTCTACTTGAGAAGGCCACAAAGGAGAGAAAAACTGTCCCCAAGGGAGAACTCCATGTTAATAAACAAGGCAAAGAGGTGGGATATCACCACCTAAAACCTACACCTTCATGCTGTAAGTGCTCTGTGCAGCCTGCTAATCCTTTCCTTCCCTCCCGGAGCTTTCTGTGCTTTCTGGACTCCATTCCATTCCCAGCCTCAAGTGATACCTGCCATCGTGTATAAAGGAATTTTGGAATTTCTCTTTGGGGAAATAACTTATAAGCCATAGGAGAGAATGAAAGTTAGTGCTTTGCAGTGAGAACTTTTTCCCCTTGATCTATCTAATTGGAAGGCCAAAAGAATGTCAATTTCTGGGTAGATGAAATGGAGAAAAGGGATGGGGGAAAGGGAAGTCTGATAACAAAATCTTAAGAGACCATAGGTTAAGATGGTACACTAAGGAGAGCAACAAAGTAAACAGGCCAAAGTAGAAGAATGACCGAGAACAGATATTACAAATCATCTACCTTTTCCCATAGCTTTTCTAGCCTTTGTGGAACCAGTCACAAGCTTTGATGTTTAATTTAGGTCTCACAGGAATCTCTTCTTATCTATGTCACAAAATAGATGCCAACAAGATTTTAATGAGAGAGAAGAAAGAGCAGAAACTTCTGAAAGTGAGTACTCTTATTACAGTTTTAGAAGTGGAAAATTGATGTGTTCTCGACAGTGAGCCAACCCTTGAACTCATCACCACAGTACACAAAACACACTTCAGAAAATTGAAGCACAAAGAGATTAAATGTCATGAGTTCACAGTTAGAGGTGGTGGCTAAATAGGAAAGTTAGCTATTCTAACTGCCTCGCTTGCCTGCTTTTGCTATGGTGGTACATTGCTTTTCTACCATAACTTTATTTAGCAACTTGAAATAGTTATCTGAAACATAAATACAGTTGATTCTTGTTACTCATGGTGGTAGTGCTCTGTAAAGTCTCCGTGAACACTGAATTAGTGAATACTGAAACATTACAGAGGGATATGGGGACAGGCTCCTTGAAGCCTCTGGTCACAACATTTTTGTGAACTGATCAATACATAACCTTATTTTCTGTGTTTCTGTTTAAAGACTCCTTATTTACTATATATTATGTACTCGTAAACATTGAACTTATGGCCAACAGCACTATAACTCATGCCTGAATGAAGCATATTTAATATATTCTCTCTGTAAGGAACACTTAGGAACGAACACTAGATAGCATTTCCACAGTACACTTGGGCCATTTTAAAATTACCAACAAATATCACAAAAATATAGCACTAAATAGACTACTATAAAGGACAGTTATTTATAGCATGAGAGCTAAAATAAGAAGGCAGAGTCTCACCTTCAGCTGGGAATGTGCACGTCAGGTAACTCAAACTTTTTGCCACTCTGATCATGTCTACCAATGACCACAAAAGCACTATGAGTATTGACTTTTGAGTTACAAATTTTAATAAGTAGGTGAGTTTGCAAGTACAGAAACCATGAATAATGAGAATTGACTATATAGAGAATCTAGCTATCCTCATTGCATTCAGAATTTATTACCCCCTTTTTTTTTTTTTTAATATATCTGTATTGATTTCAGAGAGAGGAAAGGAGAGGGAGAGAGAGAGAGAGATAGAAACATCAATGATGGGAGAGTCATTGATTGAGCCCACAACCGGGACATATGCCCCGACCAGGAATCAAACCCCGATCGCCTGGATCCTACCTAGGTCGACACTCAACCACTGAGCCACGCCCGGCTGGGCCAGAATTTATTACCTTTATTAAAGACATCACTGGATTGACTTCAGAAATAAGCAACAAAAATCTTAAAAACAGTCCATAATTATTTTTAATTATAATTGAATTCTAAGTTCCTTCTTAGTATGTATGCATTCGACCAGTGTTTACTAGATACTGCACTAATGTAAGGATTTTAAAACCTTATTGATCCAAACCTAAATACACTGATCAGTATAAAAATAGTAGATGCCAGGCACACACTAGGCCTGCAGTAAATATTAGTTGAATAAATTTATTCAACTGGTGACATGACCACTATTAGCCAGTATGTGTACATTACAGCTCAAAAAACATTTATACCCGTTATCATCCTCATTTTAAAGACAGTGAAGTTAAACTTAAAACAATATTTGCTTCATGTTGAAGTTCCAAAGTTGTTTTACTATATCTATTCCTATAGAATGGTTAGGAACTGTAATTCTAAACTAAAATAATTTGGTGCCTGACTACAGAAATTGCTTGGTATCAGGAAATAAATAAGCCTTGTACATTCAGCAAGAACTGTAGGGATGCTCAGGGCCCATGGTGAACTACCTCTCCTAACACATGTAACTTTAGAATAATCTTAAATTGTACAAAGAACCCTGTTGAAATTTTGATTTTGAGATTGCATTGTAATAATAGATAATTTTGGAGAGAATTGACACATTTATATTAAATCTTCCTGTGTGTGAACAAATGGTACATTTCTTTTTTTTTTTTTTTTATTTATCTGTTGATTTCAGAGAGGAAGGGAAAGGGGGAGAGAGAGAGAGAGAAACATCAATGATGAGAGAGTCATTGATTGGCTGCCTCCTGCAGGCCCCCTACTGAGGATCAAGCCCAAAACCCAGGCATGTGCCCTGACCGGGAATTAAACTTCAGTATCCTGGATCATAGGTCGGTGCTCAACCTCTGAGCCACACGGGCAAGGCCAAGGCCAAACGGTATATTTCTCTAATTAGATTGTCTTATATATTTTCTTATAACATATATGTACATATACACACAGGTATATAGTAAAGCTTTATAAGTTACTGCATGTAGGTCTTGATCACTTTTGCCAGATTTATCCCCAATAATGTTGTATTTTTGTTACTATTGTAAATAATATCTTTCAGTTGTTTTAAATATTTTAACTGTTGCTAATGCACAGAAATATTATTGAGTTGTTTATTGATCTAAGCATTAAATAATTGTTTATAATGTAACCATCTTGCTAAATCCTTTTCTGTTTATAGATTCTTTTAGGTTTTCTGTATAAAAAATTTTCTTGCGGTGCTTACAGTTCTGTGTCTTTTAGTTACATATGTATTTATTTCTTGCTTTACTGAACTGACTGTGAATAAGAGAAGGAATGAGGAAAGAGTTATACTTATTACATTGTGTCAAATACTTCTTAAATATTATCTTAAGAAAATTTCAACAATCCTATTAGGTAAATACTATTTCTCTTTTTAACAGATGATGAAAAGGCAGGCTCTGGGTGGTGAGGTGACTTGTTTAAAGACATATAAAAGAGTCAAATTCAAAACACACCCCTCTGATTTTCCATTACTGATCTTTGCACTGTACCTTGCTGTTTCGAGATTCAAAGGGGAGAAAATTAAGCATAAAGAATTATTTCTCTTTAAAATAGCTAAAAATAAATAAGAATTTCATGATAATCTTTAAAAATACAATTCCTCTTTTTTAATGTAAAACAATTTTTAATGGCAGCTTTTCTACTTTTAGGTAGAAGAACGACAGAGAAAAATACACAGGTCACTGAAAGAGAGAGAATGAATGTTTTAAACAATAAGCCAGAAACTTCTAAAAATTATCGATCTAGGAAAAAACAGGTATTTGTTTATTATTTTAAAATAATATTTAATGGACAGTAAAGTCATAGCTTGAATAATTGTGATTATTTCGCGTTATTTCTTTTCAACCCTAAACAAATCATGAGTATAATATGTATCTTCTTAGCTATCTTTGATTTCACCATCTTAGATTAATTGACCAGTCTGCCTATTCAAAGTTCCAAGGAAATACTTCACCCACATTTTTTAAATAGTCTTAAATTGGGTGTTGATAATGACATTTATTTAAAATTACTGTAATACTATCATAAAGTCGGGAATTCTTCCATTTTTAAGAAACTGTAATATTATCTTAAGAAAAACAGTTCCATTATAGTAGATACGTTCTTTAAAGAATTGTTCCTGTGGATAACTGTTCTACTTTTTATCTACTTTTGATAGGTGTTTACTAGACTTATTCAGGTGATCCTTTCACAGTGTATACAGATAGTGAATCATGTTGTACACCTGAAATCAGTATATTATTTGTCTATTATACCTCATTAAAAAATATAAGCACTTGTTTCTATAAATAACTGTTTAATATTTTTATTAAAAGGCATGGCTTTGGGACGAAGACAAGAACCTGAGATCTGGTGTGAGGAAATATGGAGAGGGAAACTGGTCTAAAATACTATCACATTATAAATTCAACAATCGAACTAGTGTTATGTTAAAAGACAGATGGAGGACAATGAAGAAGCTAAAACTGATTTGCTCAGACAGTGATGACTGAAAAAAGTATAAAAGCTTGATGAAAGAACAGTTAAATATTTTGATCATCGCATTTTGTTTGAAGTTGGTGGTCACTGATGTATCTTAAAAATTTTGTTTAAAGATTATAGTATTTTTCTGTGACAGTCATTTATTTAATATGAGGATTTGTTATAAGAGTAATATGCCATCATTGTATTCTTTAAGAACCTTTTTACTTGGGTAAAATATAAATTTGTCAAACCCTAATGCTTCCACTACCTCTACCCCCAAATCCTATCCTACACCAAGAAAAAAAGTGAAAACCTAGTAAGAGAAAAATATATTTTTGTTAACCTATTGTTGTGTTTATATACTGATTTCAACTCCAAAACATACACATAAGGGTGAAGTGTCTAAATTTGTGAATAATAATGGGACTTTCACATAAGAAGTTAATCACTTGATTTATGGCCTTGACATATTAATTACTAAAACATTTGTTTATAGAATGATACAGAGCAATCTTCGAGTTTTAACATACTTAAATTTCCTTTCATTAGTTTTATATAAATAATACCCATAGAACAAAATGTGTACTATTACCAAGATTTGCTTCATGTCTCACTTAGGTATATTTGACTTTTGTTCCAGTGTTAAAACTTTGACAAAGATAGGTTTAAGGAAAGCGTGTTTATAACCTGATGCCATAAATATCATTTTCTCTGATATTTTTGTTTACTATATCAACAGTGGGCCTAAATAATCCGTAAGCGCTTACATTGATATTAACCATGATCATTTTCACATCTGTGATAAATACTAAATAAACAAGGTCATACATACCTCGCTAGACAATTTAGAGTTTTCACCATTGATTCTTTAGAGAATTTAGTGAAAAACTAATATAGTTATTTAGCATTTTTTGAGTTGCATGTGCTTTATTTAATAAGGGAGTGAAAATACTGAAGTATTTGCACAAAAAGTTAAATGATAGTATTTTGTAATCTGTATTTCATTTCTTACTGCATTATACATGACTTTCCCATTGTTCTTGGATTTGTTGTCCTATACATATAGTGAACAGAAATGTGGGTGATTACTCTATGCTTCCTGCCTCGGTCTGTTTTGTTATACCAGTTACTGTCACTGTGTTTATTGCAGACATTTTGATGGTTAATGCCAAAGCAGGTACCACAGGCCAACATGGACCTATAAATCAACTTCCTCATTTCACACATGCTCTGTAAGATGCTCAGTTATTTTATGTTCCACTAAAAAAGATTACTATCAATTATAGTATGGTGCTTTCTTATTTAGAATTGTATTTTATTGAAAGAGCTAGTTTAGATTTCATTAAAGCAGAGTTTTATCATATAACTTTTGGAAACAAAAAGGGAAAGCAAAATAAATTGGATAATGTATTTTTTAACCTTTGTCATCTTAAATCTAAATCTTCTGAATTACTTTTTTAAATTGAAATTCTTGTTGAGATCATTGTAGATTCACATGTGGTCGTAAGAAATAATACAGCAAGGTCCCTTGTTCCACTTTCCCCCAATATTAATTTTTAAAACTACAGTATATTGGTACAGTCTACCAATCTTACTCATATTTCCCCAGTTTTACTTGTCCTGTATGTATTTAGTCGTAAACAGTTTATCTTTTGTATAGATTCATGTATCTACCATCACAGGGAAGACACTGATCAGCTTCAACGCCAGACCCCTCTTGTCTCTCATTTCCCTCATGTCCCTCTTCCGTCATTCCTCTAACCCCTGGCAAACACTGGTCTGTCCTCCGTTTCCAAAATTTATTCATTTAAAAATGTTACATAGTGATATCACCGAAATGGTGGTGTAGGGAGCTCCAAAGATCCTTCCTTCTACTGAAGCAACTATTAAGCTGGCAACAACTGGTAGAATCAACTTTTGAAACTGGAATCTAATAAAAACTTAAACAACCAGCGAATATTTTATAAAGAAAGAAATCACTGAATTTTGGTAACATTCTGGTGGTTTTGCTGACACTGCTTGTAAGGACAGCAGCCCGTTACTTGGTGCAGCTTGACTGCTGCTGGGGGGACAAGCAGACCCTGTACCTAGAATTGTGTCTTTTGTCCTTTTGGGGGGTTTAATTCTGAGGTTTGCCACCTCTGAATTCTTGACCTTAAAAACATTACCTACAACTTCCTGGGGCCAGGGACGGCAGAGAAGAAAGGCAGCAGATGAAATCCTGGGAGGAAGATACGTGGGGATGATGGCTCTGAAGGACTTGTGAACCAGAGAATCACGAAGGCCATGCACATGCCCACAGCCAGACCCAGTCTCAGAAAAGACCCGGGAGGTTCCTAGGCCTCCAGCTGGGAAGGATCTTTGGGCTTCAGGCGTGCTAGAGGAGAAGGCTACGGCAGAGTTGGTAGGTGGCCTGGCTAAGCATTGAACGAGCGCCCCAACTCAGAGCCAGTCTGCAAAGGTGGAGAGTGACTTGCTTTTCTTTCTGATGAGGCACTTAAGGACATTAAATGAAGTATTCTATGTATTTGCTATTTTTTTTAATGTTCTTACTGATTTTTAGGGAGAGGAAGGGAGAAGGGTAAAGGGAAACATCATCGATGAAATGCCTCCTGCACGCCCCGACGGGATCGAGCTCACATGCGGGCCTGTGCCCTGACCAGGAATCAAACCATGACCTCCAGGTTCATGGGTGAATGCTCGACTGGGCTTCTGTTTTTATATGTAGCGGCAGCCTGTTCGTTTTCATTTCTGTACAGTAATACAGTATGTGCTTTCAGTTATTTACCTGTTACGCTGCTGAATGTTTGAGTTGTGGGAATAGGGACCACTCAACTGAGGACAAACAGGTTGTGTACTCAGCTTTTCTTTAAACTGAATTTATTGAGAAATTGGTTAATAAAATTATGTAGGTTTCAGGTATATGGTTCCATAATATGTCATCTGTATACTGTGTGTTCACCATCCCAAAGTCAAGTCTTCCATCGCCATTCATCCCCCTTCACCCTCCTTTACTTCCCCCACCCCCAATTCCCACTGGCAATCACCATACTGTTTGTGTCTGAGTCTTGGGTGTTATTTGCTTCATCCCTTCACCTTTTCCATCCAACCCCCCTCCCCTCTGAGAGCTGTCAGTCTGTTCCCTGTATCTATGAGTCTGTTTCTATTTTGTTCATTAGGTTTCACATATATGTAAAGTCATGGTATGCTTGTCTTTCTCTGATGGTTGGTTTCACTTAGCATAGTGCTCTCCGGGTCCATCGATACTGTCGCAAATAAGATTTCCTTTTTTATTTTTATTTTTATGGCCGAATAGTGGTCCATTTTGTAAATGTACCACATGGTACTCAGGGCTTTTCCTATAGCAGGGGAGCCAGCCACCATCACTTGTTTGGCAGAGACTCAGGTGAGCAGAGCTTTATAGTGGGAAAGCTTTGGAGTGAAAAGCAGGGAGGGGGCAGGCCAGCCCTGACTGGAGGTCGTCGGCATGAGGAAGCTGAAGGCCGGCCGGCTGGCAGCAGGCATCTTGTGTGATTGTTTTGGGGAACATACTTGGCTTTCTCTGGTGGGTTCTGAGTTGGAAGTGGGGACAAAGAAGGGGATGTTGGCAGCCGTTGACCAGTCCTGTCGGATTGCTGTACAGGTTTGTTTGGCATCCTCAACTGGTTGCTGTAGAGGTTGTGAGTCAGAGTTTGCAGTCATACGAGGTTTGCCCAGTGTCTGTTTATATTCAGTCTCTCAGAGTTGTTCTCAGTTAATGCTATGAAGCTTTTCCAATTCGCATGCAGTGTGATACTAAGAATAGTATTAACTCTTAAATAAACTGAAAACTTAGCTATGATATTGAAGTCCCCGGAGCAACCATTTAAAAGAGTACAAATAACCCAACCAGTGTGGCTCAGCGGGTGAGCATCGACCTGTGATCCAGGAGATGGAGGTTCAGTTCCTGGTTGTGGGCACAATCCCCAGTAGGGGGCATGCAGGAGGCAGCCAATCAATGAACTCATCATTGATGTTTCTCCCTCTCTGAAATCTATATATTTATTTATTTATTTATTTATTTTTTAATTAAAAATTGAAGAATATAGATATATACCCATTTGATATAATGGGATATTTTTAAAGTTTTCAAATAATCTAAAAGAGCAAAAACAAAAATCACAAGGACAAACAGAAAAAAAAGTACACCTGAATCCAACCACATCAGTAGTTAACACTGACCCCAGTCTGTGTGGCCCATGCACCAAGAGGTCGCCAGTTCTATTCCGGGTCAGGGCAAATACACAGGGCTGTGGGCTTGATCCCCAGTAGGAGGTGTGTAGGAGGCAGCTGATTGATGTTTCTCTCCCTCTCCCTTCCTCTCAATGTATGATCCCTACATTTCTGGTTTATCCACCAGTAGAATCCTATTTGCTTTCAATCTTCAAAATCTCTGGGCCAATTTCCGCCACCCCCACCCCCCCCTTCTCATCTATGTTACGAACCCCTTTTTGTAAATCTTATAATGTCATTGGGACTTAGGGAAGGACCTAGCAGATTCATTTCTGTTTCAATATGCTCTTCATCCGATTGCTTACACCTCAGGATGCCCAGGTCTTTGCTCTGAATCAACTTGCAGTTGTATGTACAAACCACTAGAATACCCTCAGAGGGCAGAACCAGGTTTATTCTGCATCATGTTTGCACATACCTAGAAGAGATGACTGATCAAAATTTTTATGCCAGAATAGAACTAAACAATTTATTGCTATTGCTATTTATACTTAAATATGACATTCTCGGATAAAATTCTCTAAAGAAAGACCCTAAAAAGAGAATCATATGATTATAGTTCATCTTGTTCCTTTCTCTACTCTTTTTCCCCTCCCCCCTTTTTAAAATTTCCTCTTATAAATGATCACCATCCCGAGTTCCTTTCCCCTTCTTTCCTGAGTGGGTGTATTTATTTTTGTTATACTTTCCACGTGCACTTTTAAAAATCAGTCTATTAAATAGCTCTAGGGGCCATAAATCATTGCCGAGTCCCTTTAGACAGGCCCCTCACTCTAAGGTACTCATTAGAAAAGGATGTGGAAAAGGTCTTAAATACTTCGATCTTTAACTTTGAAAATAAAAATTTTGCTTCTTCATTAATCACTACATGGCTACATGTTTCAGTCTGACTTGTTTCCTTGGGCTTTGCAAGAATTAATAGCAAGCATTTCAAAACCATTATTAATAGTTAAGACTAGCCTGTGAAATTCTTGTCAAGAATAGAAATTACAAAAATATACTACAATATGGATTTTAAAAATGTATAAGGTGAAAAAATTGATTTTATACAATTCAAATATGTTAAATGTTATATTGAACCTTAAATACATCATACTTATACCTGTCAGTTCCAAAGGTGATTTTTTGCTTTGTTTTGTTCTTTTTTGGTGAAATTATGTTCATTCTTTTCTAATCAAACAAGTAAAGAGCTTTTTAAAATGTGAACAGAAAGTTTATTTATTGGTATAAAAATTTTAAGTAACATTGAAAATTACCCAGGTATATTTTCAAAAACTTTGCTTTACAAATGTTAGAAATGGTCTTAAAATGTTAATATGAACTTACACTCGAATTCTTAACCTTGAGATTTAATTTTTTTAATTAATAATTTCTTAAGAATTTAATTTACCATAAAAATAACTGGTACAGTTAAATGAATATTTAGTCAGGAAATTGCTACTGTCAGCATTAAATATTGGAGACTTTTCCATCTCTATTAAGCTTGCAATTGTCATTCTGTCATTACATGTAAGTACTGAGAAATAATCTATTTTAGTAAGTCATTTGTTGGTGAATAATATTTTATACAAATGAAACCAAAGGAATTTCATACAGTTTAAATCGTGAGATTCAATTTTCCAAAGAAAATGTCCTGGATTTAAGATTTGTTTCAAAAACGAAAAGAGCTTAGCCTTTATAGCACCCCCTTTGGCACAGTCCAGCTTTCCACTGCAGCCGAGTTCTGGACGAGCAGCCAGGATCTGGCTCTGGGGCCGAGTTGCAGAATGACTTGTCATCCCAGATGCTTAAACAAGCCACCTTGTCTCTGGTTCACTGATTTCCTGATCATAAAATAAAACTAATACTCTACGTGTATGTATGTTGTGGCCAGAGTATTTGTGATCAAATCCCAGCCTTCAGTAATATATTCCTCTGCCTTCTACTGCAGACATAAGGAAAGGAATACTATAGAAAGAATCGTGAGTTAACGTTAATGACACTGGACATTGGACTCAAAGATTATCTTGGTCGGCTTCAGGCTTTAGCCTTAGAAATAATCTTAGATGATAATGATGGTAAAACGTTCATAATTAAAGCAATTGTTTCATTTGTTGGTGCCAAAATGTCTCATCATGACAAGTATAACATTCAGAGAACTCATTGACCTAGAATGAACATTTGATCTTTTCAATTAACAGTATTTCTTCTTCAAAAAGAAAGTATTGTTCACATAGCTGTTGGTTTTTTATTACAACATGCTTACTAAATCTTAACTTGTCCTGTGGAAAATTACTTGTGACAATTTGTTTGAAATTAATCATTTCAGAATTTGTGGGATAATATATGGGAAATGTATGCGTGAGAGTGTACATATATCTGTATACACTTTTAAAGCGAGAAGTTTTAGAGATTACAGAAAAGGGATTAAAAAAGACAAGATTCAAAGCATGGATACCCTTACGTGACCACTTACCAGTAAATGGACCATGTTGTAGTAATTCTAGTGCAAACAGACATATTTTGTGGCGCATGGGCCACCTGTTGAAGGAGAGGACTCAGCGTGGAAGGTCAAGGGCATAGAACCGCAGGAGACTTCAGAGTGGGTCCTCAACTCAGTACAAATAAAAATAAAGGTGCTGTGTTTTTTGACAGCTAGCCCCTAAGTTTTCTTCCTCACTTCAGAGTGTGGCAATGACGTGTGTTTAGGAACTTGGCCATACGATTTCTGAAGGTTTATGAAGTGTTGCCCATGACGATCATATGTAGCATGTTTACAAACAGACTTTGAAATATTTACCTCGCGATCTATATAAATATAAAACTGTGCACAGCTGGACAAGAACACTGATCCACTCGCCGAACTTTTTTCCAAGTTCCTTGACATCGAGGATTGCCAATTGCTTGCCAGTGGAGAGTCTGATTTCTGAAACAGTATTTTGAAAATGTTACATACACTAAAAGCAAACCAAAGACAATTCTAATTTACAAAATTACACATTGGAGTTCTTTTTTAAAAAGAAAGATAGTCATTATACATGGAGTTTTGAAGTTCATTGTAAATTGAATTTTAAAAAATGATCACAAACCGAGTTTCTCTTTGGACTCTTATCAAAACAAGTTACCAGTTATACCTATTGAGGACACCCTGTGTGCAGAGTAGTCTGAAATCGCTGTATTTGTTTCTGTCACTTGATCTGAGTATAAAGCGCTACATAAAAGGAAATGGCTTCCTATTTCATGTATATTTAAATTAGAGGGGTCTGAACCAAATAACCTCTTATAATCCTTTCCAACTCTTTGATTCCATAATGAAAAAAAAATGGGAGCAGTGGAAAGAGCAAAGCCAGATTATTGAAATTATTATATTTAAAGTCACTGGAACCTCATCCAGCGTTTAAGGTACTTTATGGGTATAAATTAAATTATAAATTCATTTCAAGTCAAAATATGGATGAGGTATTCAGAAAAATAATAAGTCTGATTATTAAGTTTCTATTTCATATGAATTCCTTACCACTTTACTGTTCTTATGGCGTACTCAATACAGACGCTGTTGGGCACAAGTGACTAATAAATGAAAATTCAAGTTATTAAGCATTAAAATATACTATGGGAATAGTGAGTAACTGGAAAGGTCCATATTTTACTTTCTAATCCGTATTTTTACCAGTTCCATCTGACATACTTAAAACCATAATCCATGCCCACAGCAAAGTCTACCCTTCTCATAGTTACAAACAGTGTTACCAGATTTAGCTAATAAATGAGGTCAGGACTGGCATAGCTTTTCAAGATGGTAAAATGTTTTCAAGGATCAATTCTTTTGGACAATCTGTATTTCTGCAGGTTTATGACCCTGCAAAGCTGAGCCCACCACTATCTCAATCATGATCTATGACTACTCCTGGGCAGGGGTCAGCGATCCACGTGCCAGGGGCCAAATCCAGCCCACCCCATGTTTTTCTATAGACATTTTTTTAAAGAGTTGAAAGAAAATAAAAAGAAAAATAGTGTGTAATACATGAAAATTATATGAAATTCAAATTTCAGTCCACCAATACAGCATTATAGAACAAAGCCCAGCTCATCGGTTTACATAGTGGCCTGCCTGCTTTTATGCTCTGATGCAGACTTGAGTACTTGCGACAGAGACCGTGTGGCCCACAAAGCCAAAAACATCTATCATCTGGCACCATCCAGGAAATATTTGCTGACCCTTATCCTAGGAGATTGTTAAAAATCCACCCCCAAAGATTGGGATTCAGGAGGGGCTCATAAATCTGCATATTTTAAGTCACCATCCCAAGAGATTCTAATTCACGTGGTCTTCGGAACACTGCTTTGGAGAGGTGGGGTCTTTGGTGGTCATTTGGGAGCTGGCCCTAAACCCCAATATCCAAATTCACACCCCCATCCCTCAAGTCTGGTAAAGAGCCTCTAAGTCCCACAGTGTGAACTGGGTGCTTGCCTCTGGAGTGGTGAGGGGCAAGGGTCCCCTCACTCCCTGGGTTGACTCCAAGTCACACCTTGATGTGCTCAGTACCGTCAGCTGTTCAGGACACGCAGAGGACGGGCCTCTCCAAACGAGTGACTGGAAGTCTCCAACCCATTTCCCTCCCTTACCCATCCGAGTCCAGGCCGTCCCCGGAGCAGCGGAGGCTCACGGAGTTCATGGCTGGAGGCTGGCAGCCGACACACACCGTGTAGCCCTCTCTCAGGTACTGCATCCAGCGCGTCAGGGGCCGGGTTTCCATGGCGCAGTGGGGAGTCAGCGACTCGGTCTTGAACTCCATGCAGTACCTGGAGCAGGAAAAGGAACGATCACTCGCTATATAATTAGAGACGGCCTAACTCTATAAAAAGTCTTAGGAAGCCTGTTGTCCCCAAGAACATCTGACAGACTGGAGGAGACGGTGCATCTGCACAGGTCACACACTGGCCACAGAACGCTCGGCGACGGTTCTCAGTCACTGAACTATGACGATGTCCAGGTGACAACTGCGGTGAAGCCTGAGGCTCTTTTCCAATCCATGACTGAGTTACCTGGTCAGCACGGATGTGCAGAAGTCCGCATATCCTGTCTCCTGCCTGCCTGACCACTAAGTTGTGTATAAAAGCACATTTCAGTAGGAAAGTAGCCCTTGATAACTTTGCTGACATTTTCATGAATTACATCAATTGAACAAGAACTTGCTTGAGCCTGAGGACATGTGAGTGTCCCAGGAGGGCTCGTCCTTGATGCCCAGGCCAGCACTGGTCCCTCAGATGATCCCAGGGCCTTCCCAATGCTCCCCACCCAGCTCACTTGCATGGTCTGGGGGAATGACATGAGTTTTGACTTGAAGTCAAACATCAAGGTTATATTGGGCATCACAGATAAAAAGAAGTGGGAAGCCGAGATGTGCTTTTCTGTGACGGGCTAGTGTCACCTGACACGGAGCTGTGGCAAACTCTAACACTATGTGACTAGACTCTGAGGGCCCCAGATATGGGCGAACATTTCAAAGTCCTGTAGTCAAAAGCAACACAATTTTACAATTCTTCAGGGAAATAAACCAAAATAAAAACCCTGAACGTTGCACTTTAGGTTCTAACTATGCTAAATGGGTCAGTTTTTAATCCATAGAATTATGAGCTAAAAACGGTTAGGCAGAAAGTGGAGTGTAGGCTTCAAAGAAGACCTCTACCAGAGGCAGGTGTCATTTATTAGGGACCTTAAAGTATTGAGGGGGAAATTCTATGGTGCAGCTTCCATCAACTTCAGACAGCTTAACCCAGACACCTGTTCAATGGCATTTGCTAATTAAATTCCCTGACAACCCCATGGGGTAGGTATCGATGCTGAGGTGGCTGCCAAGTGGCAGTGTGGGGATTTGAACGGAAAAGTGGACACTTAGTGAGCACGGAGGCTCCTTTCAGCCTGTGCCATGATCTCGATAGAAACCCTCAGAGCTCAGAGGTGGGCCACTCTCAAATTCCCCAAACAGAGGTGGTGCTGGAGTGCAGGGTCCCATAAAGGGTGTAAGAGGAGCAGCCGTAGTGTGACTGACAGCAATATCATCTCGTTTTTATATAGATGTTTCTTCTTGGAGATCAGACCTCAGAGACAGATAAATCTTTAAAGCCCAACAAAACCTGGGAGGGGACAAGTACTTTCCCAACTCCATGGTAGAGTCATTTTTACCCAAAGGCAATGAACTAGTAACAGGAAAGCCGATCACACCAAGTTGACTTTTGTGGGCCGACCTGAATACAAGTAAAAACACATAAGTTAAAAAAAAATATCAAATTACCCGGCATCCTCTGCGTCTGTGGACCACTGCGGGGAGGCAGCTTGTCTTGTTCTCTCCTTGTTGAACGCAGAGGCAGTTATGAAGGCAGGGACTGGAAAACAGGGTGACAGTGGACCCCTGTAGCCTAAAGTACTCAGGGCGACGTTTCCCATACTTGGCTTCAAACCTGTCTGCAGCTCTTACTTCTCAAGCCAAAGGTCTGTGGCCCAGCATTAGGGAGTGACATGGGGCTAGGCGACAGTGTCCCCACACCCAGTTGATAAAGATTCACGCGCACACAGGTGCATGGGGAAGGGCCTGCAGGCCTCGGACGAGTGGACTTGTCTGCAGAAATAACCAAAAGGGGAGGGCCAGAGGAAGAGCCCAGAGGAAATAAAAAGATGATGGGGACCAGTAAACCAAGGAAAAAGGTGAGGTGATTTAGAAAGGGAGAGGATATTTTTTAAATGAAAGGTGGAGAAATAGGGAAGAAAAAGAAAAGATCGGAAGAACAAAGAATAGAGGGAGAGGGGGAAGGAAGGAAGCAGAGGGGAAGATGACAAAGGAGAGTGAAAAGGGGATGGAAGGAGAAAAAGATGCCCAGAGAGAGAGGAAATGAGAAAGGGAATAAACAGAGGAAGCACAGGAAGGGGGTGTGAGCGCTTCCCCCGCCTTCCCCCAACGCAGCTTGGAAGCGGCTCTGCCAACCGCATGGCCCAGGTGTGGTTGCCAGGAGCCAGCCAGCGCAGCACTCTCCCCATGCCGCCTGAGGAAGGGCGGTTCTCAGTGGCCCTCTCCTTTTCCCTCTGCTCCCCCCAATCCCCAACTCGGACGCTCTGAGTGGGAGAAGAGAAAAGGAGCCAGAGTTCTTTCTGCCCACCTCTGTGCCTTCTGCAATTTTAGTTTTTGCGTGTGTCTCCTCCCTATTTCGTCTCTAAGCCCAGGGCGGCACCTGCCACTCTAGGTAGCACCTGCAGATAACTTTTAATTGCACTCTGCTGTCACCTCGAGGAAGACAAGGTTTTGCCTTGCCCATCGCTGTGGCCTTTACACACTTACACACTTAATACGTGAGTGTGCAATGGGTCGATGAGTGAATGAAGTCACCAAACTGCCACCGAGGCTCAGGGGTCCTACTTCCCGGTGACCTGTTCTTGTACTGAGCCTTGCAGCTGAAATGGCTCAACAGTCCTTTCTCCCTTTCAGAGCAGCAACAGGACCAACCCGGGAAGGGTAGATACCGGCTGATGTTGGCTCCTGGATACCACAGTCATCATCAACGTGAACCAAATGGCAAGAGGGTGCAAAATTGATGCTTCGAGCTACACGTTCACTTTACCTGGCTCCTCGCGGCCACAAGGTGGCAGCCCTAATTCTGTTTTAGAGTCTCTTAGTGAGGAGTCCCTTTTAAGTTACCAGGGAATGTAAGACAAGAGCGGCCTAATCCTGGCAGCCACTTGCCCCCGAGTTGCAGACGTTACCCCTGTGTCCTGTGCTTTGGTGCCTGGTCTCTCCAGCAAGAAGGTACCTACATGTGCACAAGCCCCAGAGCCCCAGCTGTGTGGCTCCTCCCTGCCGCACTAAAATGTTTCATTGTTTTCCAAAGAGAACGTGTCATGTGTTCTAAATGTGGCTGTAGCTTTTGAACTTCAAAATCCACAGACAATCAGAAAGCTAACAAGTGAACGCTTGTACGTTGGGGTCCTTCTGTTTCTCTTACACCTAACTGTCAGAAACACAGACATCAGAAGGGCTTTAGTTTTCTGATGAATGAATGTATTTATTCGCTAAGTGAAGGACGCACAGCATTATACCAGGCAGACTACGGCACTTTCGGGATGTGTTTCTTTACTCAAAACATCTACTTGATCTCCTAATTTGTACTTCCTATACTATCACAAAAGCCCAAAGGCATAAACACGAATGCATAGCTCAGGAAAAAGGAGGTTAGGAAGTAGAGAGCAAGTATATCACTCTAGTTTCTGATATAAAATCCTAAGAAAAGTTTTAGAATAATAAAAATTAAAAGTTACCAATCACACACTTCTAAGTCTTCGGGCCCAATGCAAAGTGCTTTTCATGTGCTAACTCCTTTGATTCTCACAACACCCTCCGAGATAGAGCCTATTAGTTCCCCATTTCACAGATGAGGAAGTTAAGGCACAGAGAAGGTAAGAAATGTGTTCAAGGCTCATGTGCCGGGCCCTGTCTCCAAACCACACTCCTCGTCGATTCCTAGTAGGGGGCATGCAGGAAGCAACCAATGCGTGAGTCTCTCTTTCCCTCTCCCTTATTCTCTCTCTAAAAATCAATAAAAATAAATTTTTAAAAAGCTGAGGCTCACAGAAGTTAATGAGAAAATAAATAGTAAACGACTGAACAAGGGACCCGGCACAGAAGGTAGCTTCTGTTTTTGTAAGACCCACAACCCATGGTCAGTGAGAAGCCTCCTTGTTAGGACTCATGATAAAAGCAGGCTGGTAACCCTGGACCTGTGTCCTGTGTGTCCTGCCCCCTCGGCCCTACTGATGGGGTGCCTCCCCCTCCCATGAGTCCCCAGTAAATACACCGGGAGCCAGGTTGCCTGCAGGTCTCTGAAGCATTGCCATAATCTCCCCCACAAATCTCATTGTAATTACTGATGAGTGGTAAGTAATTTAGAAATTATTTTTGCCTCCAGTCCCACTTCTGCTTATGTGCGGAAGTCCGTAGCTGGGTGCCTGGAACAAAGGCTCAATAAACGCCAGTCCCCCCTCCTTTCGCCCTCCTGGCAACAGCATTCAAACGTAATAGATTCTTTGTTACCAGGCTATTTGCCAACTTTCCTGGCATCCCATCACCCTACCATTGTTGGGTTTTACAACAACTTCCACTTCTAAAAAGCGTGGCCCCGCACATGCTTCCTTTGAACATGAAAGTAAATTAAATTTGCCTTGAGAATTTCATAAAGCCCTCTGGCACAGTGGGGCGTCACAACAGCAGGCTTCAAACCCCTGGTCTGAAGATTTCAGGTAAAAACAGAATAGAAAGAAAATTCGGCCAAGGACACCGATCTGGAAGCACACAGTTTATAATGCACACTCACCTCCCTGCAGGAGGAAAAGGCATCTATGGAATTGCCGGTATGTGCAATGAAACAATCAGGTGGCTTTTGGGTTTGTTCGTATGATAAAAAATATAGTCAAAATATGCGTTAAATGAAACAGAAAAAATGCAATAGCTATTTGATCATTCATAAGGGCGCGTCAGTGATTATACCGCATTCACTGGCCTCACAGGGCCTTTATATTTTTCTCTCCTTTTTTTTTAAAAAGAATAGTTTATTGATTTTTAGAGAGAGAGAAAAAGAAGGGAGAAGAGAGAAACATCGATGTGAAAGCACATTGATTGGCTGCCTCCTGCACGCCCCCTACTGGGGATGAGCCCACAACCGGGGCATGGGCCCCGACTGGGAATCAACGGGTAACCTTTCAGTGCACAGGACAACACTCAACCAACTGAGCCACACCGGCCAGGGAGGGCCTTTATATTTCTACTTAGTGTTAACCGGAACCTGTAGCTGCAATTTGAGCTCTAACGATAACAGCTAAGAGCAAAACAATACCAAGTGCGGAGGAGGAAAGGACCCACAGGATTTAGAGCCATGACATCCAGGTTTAAATTCTGGTGGCCCTAGGTGCCCAGCTAGCTCAGTCAGTAGAGCATGAGACTCTTAAATTCTGGTGGCCCTTCACCAATGCTGTCATCTCTCTGGGCTTCCATGTCCCCCTGTGCAAACCCAGAATAATGATGCTGTTCTACCTCAGTGACAGGCAGCACAGTGGTCCCCCAAAGATGTCCATGCCCTAATCCCCAGCACCTGTGAATGCGTTATGTTACGTGGCGAAGAGGAATGAAGGTGCTACTCAGTTGATCTTAAAATAGGGAGATTATTCTGAATTGTCCAGGTGAGCCCCATGTGATCACAGGGGTCCTCATGAGGGAGAAGGAGTCAGAAGAGAGTCGCAGGAAGATGTGACAATAAAGGAACGGCATAGAGAGATGCAGTGTGGCCGTGAGAAAAGGAATGTGGACAGTGGGCAGAAGGCCTGTCCTCCTTGTACAGCCCAGCGAGACGGCGTCCGACCTCTGACTTCAGAAATGTAAGGAAATGCATTTCTGTTGCTTAAGTCACTAAGTCTGTGGTAATTCTCACCTCTGACTTTCTGGGGTATTGACGAAAGGTGATACACTACACCCTCGGTGGTTTTCTCGGGACATGCTTCCCGAGAGTGAATCCCCTCATCTCAGGGCCTTCGGTGCTGGGGGGCTGGGAAGTCCCCGGTTCACCAAGTCCTGCCCCACTGGGTGAGTTGTTCTCTCCTCTCTGAGCAAGAAGAAACCCCTGCGACATTCTGCTTGGAAACCTCCTCAGCTAAATATCCAAATTAATCACTTGTAAGTTTTACTTTCCACTTAGCTGCAGGTCACGGTTCCACAAAGCTTTCTGCCCCTAAGGACAGGGCCCCCTTTTCCGCAGTGAAAAGGCAAGGAAACGATTCTCCCCTGAGGGCCTTTAGAAAGAAGCAGAGCCCCTGGCTGGGTTTTAGCTCAGTGAGCCCTGGTTGGACTGGAATTACCCCACAGTACTGGAGACAATAAATCTTCGTTACTGTAAGCCCCTGGGTTTGCAGCAATTCGTCTCAGCAGCTGTGGAAAACTTCTACACTCTCTTACAGGATTGCTTCAAAGACTGAATCAATAATGCCTACAAACACTCTTTGCCACACAAATGGGAGGGGTCAGTGCACAGCGTGAAAAAGGCCCCTTCACTGTGAATAGGAGGCCTGGGGGAGGGGGAGGGAAGAGCAGGTGCACAGGCGAGAGCCGCAGGTAGAGGTGGGCGCCCCTTCCCCACGCTCCCCCACCAACATTTGCGTCCATGGGGTGCTCACTACCCTGAGTTCTAACTGACTGTGATGTGTTTGTCACTCAGGTTTGTACCTCCACAATCCAGCACAGCGCTGGAATGTCGTAGATGCTCAGGGACTCTTAAGAAAATGCATAAATGAAGGCACAGGAGCTGGGGTGAAAAAAAATCAATGGGGTCTGACTATGACTTCTTCCTGAGCC